CATATATATGATGTGGTAAAAGCAATAACACACACTATGCAGGTCAAAGAATTAAAATCAGAGAAAAGTAAGGGAATAAATGTGTAATTAGTTGCATCCTGCCGCTCTTAAGAATTTGTCATATGGGCTTGAAGGTGGGAGCCTGAAGGATTTCTCTGACTCACTGGACATTGAATCCGTTCGTTTCAAAGGCTCAGCAGTGGTTTTCCGTACGCCCTTGAGGAATTGAAGTGTCTGCTAAAAATAAAACGAAATAAAGTTGAAACACGTCTTTTAGATATAGTAGTCTTATGTTGTGACCAGTGTCTGAAACAAATAATAATAATAATAATAATAATAATGGACTCGCGGCGTTGTTTGATACACTTGCCTTAGGCGGACTCGCGGCGTTGTTTTCATCTTCAAGAATTGCATTTTCCACAGCTTCTTGTTGATCCTTGAGGCCGAGCAGCACCGACATTTTCTGCTGTTTCCCTATAACAAGTGCCTCGCACTGGCTCTTCATCTGGTCATAGGGCACAGGAGTGGTAGAAGCCGGTACAATTGCGACCTGCTGAGCACTCTCAATAACCTGCAAGAGATATGTTATTTTATTTTATTTTATTCCAGACGAAAACAAAAAAAAATTCATGAATTGTAAAACTTTCCAACTAATAGTCTAAATAAATCTTCTCTGCCTTTCTCGAAAGAAGTTCTAATTTAGACTATTTGTTGGAAAATTTTGTTCTAGAAGAACAAAAATGCAACCTTCAAAGCTGTATCAAAAGCTCCCTTTTTCTTATAAATTTCAACTGAACCCAACAATTGTGAAGTTTGTTAAATCAAGAAAACACAACCATAGTTCATTAAATCTAAAAAAAAAGCTTAAGACTCCACTTGGTTGTAAGAAAGGAAAAGGGTGAGAAAGGCACGGAAGTGATTTTTGATGTTTAACTGATGAAAGAAAGGGACAATTGTTTTTTTTAAAAAAAAGAGGAAAAATTCAGTTCATTTCAGGGCCAATGAAGTTCTCAGCCAACCTTAAGGCATCCGACTGAATTGCATTGTATCTTGTACATATTTCTTTTTCATTGGCTCAACGCAATTATACAGAGCCTACAGAAGAATTCTCATATCCTTTTCAGAGACTACAGAAGAATTCTCATATCCTTTTCAGAGACTACAGAAGAATTCTCGAAGAGGATAAACTTTCTTTTGACCGTTTTCCCAATAAAGGCTGTACCTGGTACTTGGAAACCAGAGCCAATCTAGGTATGCGATAAATGTGATAATTTAACAAAAGATAAAACAGTTGTCAATCCATAGTTCCAAATAACATGGAATCTTCCATATGGTCTTAAGGTCATAATAATAATAAATACTAAGAAAAGGGATCACATTCGTCACTAAAATTTTCATAATGTCAAAGGCAAAAGGGAAAACACATTCAGAAATCTTTAGTCGCTCTTCAATTAATTAGTTTCATCGATTTCGACCAAAGTGCTAGGTTTCATTTCATACAAAGTGCAAGAATTGATAAACCACTCATTTTTAGCATTGAAATTCATGAAATCATGGCCCATGTTTCTGCCACCAAAGATTATGAATTCTAGATTAAATAAACATTAAAAGAACAAGTATATTCTTTCTTTTCAGGAACATTAATGTTGGATAAAACATATGTTTGTAAGACAAAAGTATTTAGGACACCAATGAGTTTGTTGGATAAAACATATGTTTGTAACACAAGAGTATTTAGAAATCATAGCGACAGAGGGTAACAACTAACAAGTGAATAGTAGATAGAGGTAAAAAAAAAGTAAATAACGCACTCTAAAGAGCATTCCATTACTGCAGAAATGGAAGTAAATATTACCGATTCTATCAATTGATTGACATTTAGAACGTCAATTGAGTTTGTTGATTCAGACATCTTTCGGTCCGACTGACTTCCACATGCTTCAGGATATTCATCTTCATCGTCCAAGAAAAGATCTATGGCCTGAAATAGAAAGCCCTCACATGCTAAAAACTGTATTAAGAAGAAATACTTGCACAAAGACAATTTTGAGGGAAGGATGTGAACCTCATCAAAATATAGGCATTCTTTGTGAGCAAGGGGGGAACATGAATTTGGCGTCTCCCAGAACAATGGGGCTCCAAAGGGGAGGGCATCATCAGGTGAAAATTCCTGCAGAAGCTGTTCTTTTATGCTCATCAACTCTTTCTGCAATTAAAGTATACAGGAATGACTTTTACATGAATAGAATGAAACAAATTAACGAAGAGATTGGAGTTACATTATTGTATTTGTTCATTTCTGAAAGAAAACAAGGATACAATAAAAAAAAGTAAAATACAAACTGACAAAAAAATTGTGAACGCACAAAAACTCACATCCGACAGTTTTTCAAATTTTTGTATTAAATGGGATATCATCAGCTCTTTTATGTGGTCGTCAACATTATCGTTTTCTTTGAGAAACTCTGATGTTGTAAAATCATCTTCATTATATCCATTAATTGGTTTTTCACTAGGAGAGGATGCATTCATAGCCTGAAGCATACTGTCTTCTACCAGACGAAGAGAAGGATCAACCTGTTACAGATACACATACACTTGTTACGTGCAGCTCAACAAAACTGAGAAATAGGAAAACCTTACAAATGAAAAAACATTAACTGCAGATAGGCTCCATGTACTGTAGGGGTTAGCTACTTATTATTCTTGAACGTTCTTATTAGCAGTTAAAGCACCTGATGAATAAACCAAGTAAAACCTTTGTACCCATCACGTTGGGTGCCACGTGATGCCAATGTGTTACAGCGAGAGTCCAGGATATGTCAGTGTGTTGCAGAGGCACTCCCTATATGTACAAATAACAGAGAGATAATTCTGTTTGGGAATCATTTGGTCTAAGTGCTGATAAAAAGTTAAGAGGTTATAAGTAGCTAATCCCACATATTCCTGGTTGTGCAGTAGCAATGAACCCATGAAAAAATTAATTCTCTGAGTACATTTTCATCAGGGAACAAGTTCCAATAAATATTGAACACAGAGATATAAGTCATGTACCATTTTCTCTGTCATCTCTGCTTTAATAGATGAAATTAACTGTGGAAGGTCTGCAGCCTTTGCTGCAAATACAAGCATTGAACATGCCAGGGTGTACAGGGACCTCCTTCGGGATGGCGGCAAGCAACCTTCACTCAAATGATAGAAAAGGAAAATTAATAAATTAAGAACATAGGCAATAAGGCAACACTTATGCAACATGCTCTCAATACGACTGTATTTGTTAGATGGAAGAGATTAGCTTGTTTTTTCTTCCATTTTCTATTGTTCTTTATTCTTGTTCTTCTTTTTGGCTGAATAAGTGAAAGCAGCAGAGGTCCTTCGTATATTTCCATATTTTCTATTGTGCTCAATGTTTGTAAATCTCAGTTATATTTCCATATTTTCTATTGTGCTCAATGTTTGTAAATCTCAGCCAGCATGCATGCATGGGTGTGAGTGAGAGAGAGAGAGAGAGAGAGAGAGTGTGTGTGTGTTTGTGTGTGAGATCTTTTTCCCAGTCCCCAGTATTGTGCATCCATTTACATTATAACCTGGCCATGCCTTTTAAAGTATTGGATCTCATATGTATGATCTAGAGGTCTTACAAACTGAAGTGTATGGGGGGAAGTCTGGCGAATGAAATTGTTAACATTGAACTAACTGAACATTATAACCCCAGCATGAAGTTTCATTGATATAGGCTAATATGATCATCAAGTAGGAAGCATGTAGATGAGAAACATTATACTGATTCCGGAAGAGCAATACTTTATTTCAGAGTAGCAATCTTACTTTCATGGTTGCACGAGATGCTTCTCAAGGAAAATGCCAGCTGAAAACAGCGGGCAAGGGCCACATGGCTAGAGGTCTGTCAAAAAAAATTTGGAATCGACAAACAGATATTAGGAAAAAAATAGTTGTCAATAAACTATCTCTATAAATAAATGATAACCTGTAAATCCATAAGGAATTTTACAGCTTTCAACATAGTATAAATGGAGCTGAATTCAAGAAACAGCACATTTGGGTTTTCAGCTAGATTTTCCTAGGGAACTCTGATCATATCTATCTTGGATTCAGTCAATAAGGATTAAGGTATCTGAGAAGATTTAGGAAATGTGCCTTACAACCTGACAAGCAAGCAGTGCTTGTTACATCTTAGATAATTAAAGATATTGGTTCTCTTCTGAAGTTTGTGTGAGCAATAAACAATATGTAGGGAGAAATTTATATGCAAAATCATCTGAGCTCCTGTTCATCATATTACAATGAGTACCCTTGATACTGCATACCATGGTTTTACTCAGCATAAGACTTATTCCTCCAGTTTATATGAGATACCATTGTGGTTTTGGGAGCTTGGAGTATCTCATTATGGATGTTTTATACCTTCATGCTAAAGTATGCATCGGGATTATATTTCCAACACCTAGACATAGATTGACATGGATATCTCATCTCTTTATAAAATCTCTGGATAAAGACTCTTTAATAAATCCACTTCTCCTAAGATAACGAGTCCATCAATATTTTAATATGCTTGTTCCATGATTTTATTTTGAAACCTATTGCCCTCTACATCATTTACTAGGTGAAGTCATTAGATATGCATCTGTATAAAATATAGGAAAAATTGTGTTTAGTCCCCAAGTTAAGAATTATCATGTGACCTAGCCCATTAACCAAAGTCAAATATGCTTAAGCCCATTTTCAACTTTTCATTCTTTCACCCTTTTTTTCTTTCTTATCCCTAAAATACCATTATCTTCTTCTCCTCCTCCTTTCTCCTCATATCAACATTTTCCCTCCATTCCTTCTCCACTTTCCTCTCTCTTTCATTCTACTTATTCCCTCTTCTCTTCCTCTTCACTCTATGTCCATCATCCTACCTTCATCTTCCTCTCTAATTTGCTCATGATCCTTCCTCCTCCACTTTTCTCCATACAAACTCCATTCTCCTCTCTTATCTCTCCTCCATCTCAACTCTATTCCCGTCTCTTCGCTTGCCTACTTTCATCTTCACCTTCCTTTTTCTTCCTCCTCCATCCCAACTACACATTCCTCTCCTCTCCTACCTTGTTCTATGTCCTGCAACAGGTGCACCATCATTCAAATGTCGCCATCTTTGCTTAAAAGAATCATGCTCTAAAGTCACGCCGAAGTTGATACTCAATGGTTAACCTTAACACCTAACGGTTAAACTTAACACTAAAGTTTTAAAGTTAATAAGTAAGCTTTTCATTTAGTATGTAATGTGTAAAATAAACTAACAATCAAGATTTTTTGCCGTCACGGCATCTCCTGCCATTTTTCCTTAACTATCTTTACTCTTTATTCTTTCACAACCGTTGTCATATCCCTCAAGAGCCATCTCCTTTCGTTAAGATGGTCATTTTTTAGTGTTAACTTAAGTTTTGAGTGAACTTAAGATTTCAATTGTTAAAATCTTTATAATTTTTAAAGTTAACATTTAACATTTATAGTTATTTAAAGTTAAAACTAAAAAATGATCGTTTTAGCCAAAGAAGATGGCCTTTGAGAGATGTGACAAATTATGTGGAAGGAGTAGAGATGGTTGATGAAAGAGGAAAAATGGTGGAGAAGAGGCAATGGCGGCAAAAAAACCTATTACGTGTTAACTTTAAAGCTTCATTGTTAAGTTTAATTGTTAGATGTTAAATTTTAATTGTTAGGTGTTGACTTTGACTGTTAGGTGTTAAGCTGCCCTATTGAGTGTTAATTTTTACTATTACGTGTTAACTTCGACGTGATCCTAAGAGATGGTACGTTTAAGCTAAAAATGATAGCCTTTGACTAATAGTCTAATACAGTGACAAATATAGAAGAAGAATGAAGAGGGATAATTGAAGAGAAAGAAGATAATGTAAGAGTGACCATGACGGCGAAAAAGATAATGATTGAGAAACGACAAGAAGAAAGAGAAGAAGAATGCAATAGGAAGATCGAGGTGAAAGAAATAATGGTTAAGGAGAAGGAGGAGAAGAAGGAAATATTTTTCATAGGTTCATGAGAAGAGAAAAGAGAGATGAGAAGTTGAAGGTGAGGGTAGTTTGGAAATAAAGAAAATTTATTTTCTCTCTGCTGAGATGGCAACACGAAATGGATTTTTTCACATCAGAAAATGGGTCAAGGTGAATAAACACATGAAGAAAAGTTGAAGGGGGTGCACCACATGGGGGTTTTTTAAAAGGGGCCTACGCAAAAATATATGAGAATTTCAACATATGTTTATGTGGATTTTCATCCTCGATTCCTTTAAATATCCACCTACCAGATGCCTGTTGAAGGCAACTTAAAAAAGTATAACAGAATAGCTAAATCTCAAGAATAACGAGATGCCTGAACAGAACCTTCTTTGGTTAGAGAAAATAATAAATAACTTACTTTGGTTCGAGAAAACAATAAAGCAATGTTGTATGTATGTGCAATTGCCTCATAATTTGTGGAACTATTCTCTTGTGATGTTGCCTGAGTCCAAATTGATGAAAGCAATAGACTCACTTGATGGCTACTCAATCTCATTGTTCCGAACTCCTGGAGAACAAGTAGATATCACAAATAGTTTCCAACATATTGAGCATAAAGATTAGCAAAAAGGGGGAATTGGAAGTCTAAAGAGAGCAAGAATTCAAAGCTGCATACTCCTTTTCCAGATTCTGCAGCAGTTGTAGAGGACACATTGCGGGATGGGTAAACTTTATGCAGTTTTACCTCAGCAGGTCGATTATCTTCTTCCATTTCTCTTACAGAACCATTTGTCAAATAACTAACCTCCTTTTGCATTTTTTCCAACATAATGGAAGAAGAGAAACCTGAGAGAGCTACCAAAAGTGTTTCTTGTGCAGCATATCCTTTCGATGGACTTGGAACAAGAGAAACTGACCACGGACAAACTATTGAGGGCAAAAGAATAGCAGAAAAAATGCGATGAGACCCAATTCTTGTCTCACGATCCGGGTGTGCCATAGCTAAAAGGAGTTGGTGAAATAAACCTTCTGGGAAAGCCTGAAATATACAATAAGTGATCAACCTAGTTTGTAAAAGCTAAATAATGTTACTATTGAATGTACAGTTCTTTACATAACAGTAATAAACAAGAGGACACACTTGCCTTCTTGTGATGTGACAGGTTAGGGATATGAGCTGTTATTTGTGCAGCACGTAAGACAGAGGAAGTAGTCGTTCTGGCTACAATAGCATTAGAAGAAATATTCTCTAGCACAACAGCCATCATATCAAGAATAGGTCCAACATCACCTATCTAACGCCCAAGATATTAGTTTTTCCATTTGCATAGATTGTTGAAAGTACAATAAATACTATCTCTATCATATATCAAAACAAAAACTGATGATAGTGAAAATTAATGTAAAACATTAATAATTACTTCCAGAAAAATTAATTCAGGAGTCCCAAAATTCATAACAAATCAAATCAGCAGCAAAAAATCAACAATAAAAACTACCATTTACCGACGAAGTAGTCACTATTCGGCTTCATGTCAGTGCATGAGTTTTAAAAAAAATCGAGATCAAGATCTGACCTTATTTGCCAGTTCGAGGAGGCATTCTTCTAGGGCAGAATGAAGGGCAGAGTTCCACTTATTGATGTTGCTGCCTGGGCTTGATGCTTCAATGGAACATTGTAAGCATTTCCGCAAGTGCCTTATCAAATCACTGATCGCTGTGACTATAGCTAGTGAAGCTTGCAACTTAGCGTCCCGAGCAAGCTGTATTGCTACAAGAATAATGTCAATCTGCACGTCAGGCTGCTTGGAAACATTCTTGTGATCCAAGTGCTTGATGACAAGAGATAGCAACAAATGGCTATTTTGTTCTGGAAAATAAACACAGAACTAATCAAAACGGAATTATTTTATGAGAGAATTTTGGATCTATCCCATTTTTAAATTTGACACATGAAAAACACAGAGCATAGTTCACCTGAGTTCTCCATTAAGACCTGCATCTCAGACAAAATAGCGTAAGCAATTTCCTTCTCAGGAGACCAAAAATTCCCATTGTCAAAGTTGCGAAATAAAGGTTCGAAAACACGCCTCATAGTAGTTGCCTCTTTTGCAAGTTTGGCCATATTCCTCAGGCAAACTCTTGACCAATAGGTTGGGTTTTTGGAAGTATCCCTGGTACCAAATAAAGCTGAGAACAACAATGAATAATGACACTAGAGAGGTACAGAAAATTGGATCGATTGAATCAGCCCTTACCCTGTGGCGACGAATTCTACTTTATTAGTCTGCAAGGATGAAATCTTCTTAAATGAGGTCTGTATGGCTGAAACAGGGCTATCCTTCTGACTCTGAACCTGATTCGGTTGTGCATTGTGCTTTCTATTCTCTGTGAACATTTGATGAACGTCATAATTATCCAAGGCCACAGAGATTATCTGCCAAATGAAGGCAATGAATCAACCAGGAATGAGGCAAAACCAACAATCTACCGCTCATTAAAGAAATGATAGAAGTAGAAGTGGCCATAGATAAAGTTTCTTCCTTGGAAAAAATTAGAAAGTTCTTAATATCAAAAAAGCCTTAGCCAGTACTCATTAGTAACAGCAGTTAAATAGATTCAGCTCATTTTGATAGAAGACCAGATTGGTTCAACCATGATTGTTAACCTTTTCAAGACTGCGATTTTGATGCAGGTGGATTTAGTTTCTAATGAAATCAGATTATGCTGCAATTGTTGCTAAAATATGAATACGAAAAATAGGGCCTTATCTTCTTCTTACTATAGACCGTAGAGTTAAAGCAGGACAGCTAAAGTGAGAAGTGGGTTTAGAATTGCATCATTGCATGCAATCATAGAATACCAATGAAATTGAAGAGCAAAATCCGTAAGATGGCTATGAGAGCAACGATGCTTTACAGATTAGAATATTTTAATTAAACATTTATTAATTAAGAAACAACACAGAAAATGAGCAGCAGAAATGAGAATGCCATGGGGGAAAGTGCAGATACACCAAGAGATTAACTACCAACTGCACATGTAAGAACCTGGATGTCGCTCCTATTGAGGATAAAATGAAGAATCTGTTGAGATGGGTTCAGCATTGTCCAATGGAGGCCAATGTTTGTGCTGGTTAAGAGAAGTAAAAGGTCAGAGTTAATGAAGCACTGAGGTAGGCCCGAGAGGATCCGCATTGTAATAATTGAGTACGTATATCTAGCGGATAGGTGGCTCATTGCTGCTTAGTTCAGTCACTGATTGGCGATCGAAGTAACGTGAGATGAATAGTATGAAACACCACTAAAGGATCATTGATCATAAATAGACAAAGGAAAGGTCTTGGTATATGAACAGCATTGCTTAACTGCAACTTTTCAACAAGAAAAATCCATAATTTTTCCATATCTAAGAGTGAGAGGTGTTGTAACCAGTGGGCTATTTCAAGTTGTTGGGATTTGGTCACTGGAAGTTTAGCATATTTTGAGCTCAGGTTATGTCTTCAGGGTCATAGTGAACAGGTGGGATGTGGCAGGGCCTGTGCTGTTTGCCGCAGGTCTTAGGTTACCTTGTGTCACCATCACTGGGACCAGGAAAAATGATAAAAGAATCATACACATTAGATTTAAATGGTTTCTCTAAATATTTCATTTTCAGCGTAGGAGTCAGGAAGAATCTACCAGGTACTAGGAGCTTGCTCCTTTTTCATGTGATCTTGAACTGCAGCACTGGAAAAGGTCTATCTACTCGCCAACTCCCAGTTGGATACATTTTGTGGATATCTCTTGTCCTTGAGTCACACTCCACATTCAACCCCATTTTAAAGGTGAGAATCTTGGATGATCCTATCATGGCAATACCAGCTAGAAGGTTTAGTTGTCCTTGTTTATGGGTATTAGTAGTTTTTAGTAAAGGAAACAGCAATGCATTAGAATTTATACAGGATCAGATTTAGCAGATACTCTGCTTCCCCATTCACCATGTGCACAAAGATCTCAGTATCTGAAACTTTGTTGGATCTGGCATCTATGAGTATACGAATGCAACTTCATATTTTCCATACATTTGGAATCTGAGAGCAGAAATTACTAATCACTGTGGAGCAAGGTATATTTCTGTAATATTTTCCATATTCAAATCTAAATATGGACTTTTTTTTCCTATTCATGGATGATAGATGATTTAATGTGATATTTCTTACCTTGGAGCCAAATCAGCCTCAACAAACACAAATATACATCATTCTCAATTTGTAATTTCAATAATTTTATCTGCAATACAGGTTTATTTATCTCAATGGAAATATACATTATTAGGCAGAACCATATTCATGGATCTGAGAATAATCATCCATTCATAATCCGTCTTCGGGGTACTATAGTTGCAAATTCACCATGTACCAGAAAATTCTGCTTACATATTGCCATACCGACTAACCTTAAAAAAAGAATAGGGTATGGAGACAAGTTACTCATTGGTTGCAAGGTAGTGTGAAAACATCACTATCGTCATTGTTAACCGGTGAGAAATAAATAATCGCTCAAAAGATGGCATGGTTTATTGAATAAAAGGACAAATCAATTCGTTTTTTCCTGGCTCTGCTAAACAGGCTACAAAAGAAAGAACTTACCTCATCTAATTCCATAGAGATATGAGAGAAGTCACCCATGAAATGCACCTGAGCACGAAAAATAAGACAAATCAAAATGACTAGAAAAGATGCATATTTAAAAGATATGTTTAAACAAATGGGTAGTAGAACTAATGAGAACCTATGATTCCTAAACAAGGTAGTCACACTCATAGTAAACAAGGTAGAAACATCCAAGTTTTCTAGAATGCTTAACATTTGAAACTCGCATCACATACAGTTCTCTTTACAACAACAACTTCAGAGGAGTTGCATCATAAAAAAGTGATGCTAATACTATTATCCTAGTAAAAACAAGTTATGTATATTTCATGAAGTGCACCATTTGTGGAAACATCAAAGACAGGTTTGAAAAGTATTCTCCTTCTAATGGAAGGGTTAAAGGTTCATTAATGGAAGGGGAGAGCCTTTATGGAGAGAAAGCTATGCATGGACTCATTCCAAGCACATACCAAAATTTAATGGATGCCAAACTGTGGCTTCTTCTGGAGTAGAAGGGTGCGCAACATTATGAAGTTTTCAAGAGGGTCTAATATAATTTGATAGAACCAAGTACATTTCACTGTTGACTTGCAACATATTTTTGCCGCAGATGAGGATTCAAAACCAAAAGAGTAAAACAAGGAGGTGATATGCCTAATTTTTATCATTTACAAGCTATACCTTATGCAGCATACGCTCTAAGCATTTCACGCAGCTCCTTTCAAGTAAAACTGTTAACGCCCTGTTGGTTTTTAAACAAAATGAATAAGCCCAACCCTGCATAGCACCTAAGTTGCATGGATACAGGTACGAGCACCGGTACGCATGCAAGCAGGTACGAGACATGGCAAATTTGTAAAAGGCAGTGTAGGGGGGCACGGCTGAGATGCAACGGCTGAAAGCATATTTATTAGCTAGATATGCAAACAACCCTTTCAAACTGTAGCTTAGAACTGAATCTGGGCTGAAATGAACTTGACCCTTGTCCAAGAAGTATATGACGAGTGTTTTAAATTTTAAAAATGTATAGTACAATTGATTAAACATCTGAATAAATGTATGCCAATATTCAAGGAGTGTCCAAGAAGTGTCGGGTACAGGTACGAGTATAGGACGCGTAGGTATGGGTACAGCCCCATGATAGAAGTACCCATGCAACACAGCATAGCACAGAGTAGGGTAATAGTAGGAGACAAATTCTTAAACAAATAACATGCGGATTGTAAACAAAGATTAAGAATCCAAAGCATAATATTGTACCATGGAAGCTAGAGCTTGCATTGCTGCTGATCGCAAACGGGGTCCACTATCACCACCTCCTGCTTCTTGGCCAAGTTGACAAAGTTTCGGTATGAGACCTTCTAAGTTGAACATGTACGTGCCATCAACCTATCTTATGAACATTTAGTCGAGATAAAATAGTTTCTCAATAAATTCGTCAAGAAATGCTTGACTTACAACTTACCTGGCTATTAAGAAACTCGACAAGGACAAGACAACCCAGAATACGCATATCATCTTGTCGTGATTGATCGAGAAGAGTTCTTACAATACTCAATAAACTAGGAGCAAACAATGGCCTGGATGCAGTTGAAACAGATTAAAGTGTGAAGAAAATATGTTATGTTAAGAGAATCATGCATGCAACAAAATGATTCAATCACATGAAAAGTAGTGATAATATACATTAAACATTACGAAGATATGTACATATACCATCCTACTCCATTTTTTCCTTCTTAAATAAGAAAGATAACCCATTCTTATTTCATCGAGTTTATATGCAATCTAGGAGAAATAACAAGCTGAATGAAATCAGGTTGAAATGTAATTTGAATTGAAATATATCATAGTAAGAGAACCATCTATTCACAAATACATAGTAAACACGACAACAGTCTGTCAAGCTTAGGAAAAAATGTAGTCCCTAGCAATGAATCGATCATTTTTCATTATTAAGAGGGCGTTTGGGAAGGCTTCTTTTTTAAAGCTCATAAGTTATGCTGCCTTCTAGAGGCTTTTAGCTTTTATATAAAAACGATACAAAAATTGTTTGGGTAAAAAAGTAATTTGTTTGGTCAAATCTAGCTTATTTAGGTGAGCTTATAAGCCAACTTATTTGGTATTTTAGCGAAGAAGTAGATGTTAAAAAGCTAACTTAAAAGCTAGTTTGACCACACACAAAAAAGCCCTCTCAAACAACCTCTAAGTCAGAGTACAAAATGCAAATCACATCGAAGTCATCCTAAAACTTGTAGGTCACAAATTATATTTTCTGTATAGGTCAATTTGAGAAATAATCTAGGAAAGATACTTTGTATGGCAAAATTCTAACTGCACATGATTTCAACAAATTCACGAGGAAAAATTCTACAAAGTTAGTAGAAAAAGAAATTAGCCTTATAGTATAATTATCATCCTGTAGCCAAATTGTTAAGATGATTGTGCCTCAAGAATTTAAAAATAAAGAAAACGAAAAATGTGAAGAAAAAAATAAACACATAATAGAAGCTGATGATATTGCGCTCATATTAAAATTGTTAGGGACATGTACAGTGAATCAACATGCTCTAGTTACTGGTCAATAATAATTATGATTTGCATTCTTTCCTATTGTAGCAAGTAATATGCCCAAAAAAATTTTATTAAAATGGGATACAAACAAAGCTGCAGAGGTGTCACATTATTTCAAAGGAAAATAAAAATACTTGGTTCAGGCATAATCATGAGCAATTCAACCAAAGAGATAAATTAATACACATCATTGACTGCAGAAAAGATGAGCCTTCAACAGAAACCTGAGTTGGGATAAACATACTACTTACATCTGCTCCTTACATGAAGCTAATAATTTCATGTAGACACATGGTATAACCTTTGCCCGATTGAAGTGCTCAATACGTAACTCCTTATAACATCGCTCCTCTAGGTACTTTGTGATCTGAATAAAAAGACTGAAAAATGACTACAAGAAATCATCTTTATCTGACTTTATAAGAATTATGCAGATCTCTAATAAATAATGTCCTTTCTATCAATTTACTACATGAGCTGCATATATTAGTCAAAGGCCTCAAAACACTGCAGACACCAATAATTTTTTGACAAATTTAGACTGTACGATTACACTGCATGACTATCTATTGTGCAAGTCTAACCATTCAATGAAGTTGACGCAACAGCATGTAGATGACACTCTGGATGATCCATGTACAGAATCCATTTTAGAGAAGTGGCTTGTACATGAACCCAAAAAAAAGTTTTTTTAAGCTTTAAATGGTAATAATCATAATATCATTTCTATGGAATATGGATTAATACTTATGGCATCAATGCCTTCTGGGTGCTAAATTTCTCCATTTTACAGATTTCAACAAAAGTCAAAAGGCATATCTGAATTTCTCTCGTCCTAAGAAATAATTAGCATGTATTCCAGTCTCTTAATCATCCACACACTTCTCTTGATCCTTATTTATGTTATGTTTGGGACAATTTAGCTGTAAATGGCATACATAGAAGTGTTCAATGAGGATATATGGCAAGATGTGGTCTACGTGTTTGGTTAATAAGGTGGGTAATCATGTCAAGTCACATGCATTTTAGAGAAAACAATGAGAAACAAACTATATATTCAAGGACACAAGACTTTGCATGTGCATGCAAATTCATGTCAAATCGCATGCTTAAAGGCCTCACACAAAAATAGAAATCTTGCAAGGATATTTAGGACTGATATAAGAGAATGAAATTGTGCAGAAACACAAAATGGGGGAGGGAGGGAAAATGATCGGGAAAGAGAGATGCATGAGAATGTGCAGAAGTTATACAAGGCAAAACAAAATTTAAACAAGATTTGCATAGATTTTCTTGAGATCTCGAACAAGGTCAATAAAGCCTCTCAGAATTTTCCAGTCGCATGCAGGAAATGAAGTGCCTAAATAGGACTCGAGACAAATTTCAATAATTACCCTGGGCACGTTTAATTAGTGGACAGATGAATTCTGGATTTTAACTTTGAGGGAGAACAACAAGTTAAAGTTATACCATATCACCTTCACTTTTAATGCGTGCACAAGTTTTTAAGCTTGTATTTCCAATCCAGCGGAGATCAACATCAGATGATTATGGTTTCCATTCAACAAAACATAAAAAAGTTAAACTACTCCTGTTAACTTATACGAGTACGCAGCTTGAATGACCATGCCATCCCTATGGAATCAGAATTTTGTATAAAGTTATACTATGCAAAAACCTAGACCAAAGTATCAAGATAACTGGACTATGGAATCAGAATTTTGTATAAAGTTATACTATGCAAAAACCTAGACCAAAGTATCAAGATAACTGGATACAAGGTTGTTAGAAATGTAGAACATACCCTAGACCAAAGTATCAAGATAACTGGATACAAGGTTGTTAGAAATGTAGAACATACATGTCTATGTGATCACATTCTCCCGCCACCACTTGACCTCCATTACCTAGTCTCTTACCAGTTATAACTTCATGACTGCTTGCTTAACATAAACGAGACTGTTGACCAGTAAAAGTAATCTTTCTACTTGGACAACTTCGTGACGTAATTTCACCACACTTTGGACCAAGAATAAAACTCAACGAACCAGGGTAAAAGACAATAGAACAGGTCATGGATTTTGATCAAAGGACCAAATCCATCAGAAACATATCCAGCAATTGGTTAATCTGATACTTACTGGAATATCAGATGCACCTTCCAGTGCATCTTAAATTTTATTAGGCATGCAAGGTTTGACAATAAGTACAATGACCAAGCAAAATAATGGAACTCCGAATCAATTTGAATCAGGAATGAATTTTACCTTCCGCATAGTCAAATAAATAAGATTTTTTCAAGCAAGAGTACAGCATGATTGAGAGAAGAATTAGTATATGGTAAATGAGAAGAAAAGAAGCCGAGAAAGACATGACAGTGTTAGAAAAAAGAATGCTCAATAGGATTATAAAGGAGTTCGCTTTTTTTCGAAAAAAAATGAGCAATTGCGAAGGACCTATAGAGGCAAGCACCAATATAGGTAAGGCTTCTTAGGTTGTTCCACCTTTACTTGTGTCGATCTCAAAGTCATCTTGAAATTATTTTCATAATTTTAGATGTCAAGACATACAGAGGTGTTTGCACATCAAGTGATAATGTCTATGGTCCTGCATGTGATTTCAACCATATAAAACTTTTTATGTTGTATGATTAATGCTCTTCTTTTCTTGAATATCAATCTGAAGCCATTGATGTATGCTAAAAGTTCTGAGCCCCTAAAGAAAATACAGACTTATTTGATCATGCTAACTAGTGCAAGCATTTGCTGTAGGCTAGCACAAAAGATGGTTAGCAAGGGAAGAAATAATTAGACAGTACCATAGTGCCAATAGACTTTTAATGCTTTAAATTAAATATGTAGACTTTTTAATTCTTTCATATATTAATATGACGTCTAATACTTCGATTTGCTGAGAAGTTCAAGAGAGTGACAATCCAAAATTCATCCATAATGCTTCCGTGGAGTTACATCAAACACCGAATAGTTATTTAATTGGGAATCTCCTGATTGATAAATCACAATGAGAATAGTGTTCAGAAGCACACAAATATCAACATCATGAAAATAACATAACATAGGCTTATATAACAACAAGTGACTCCATCCCAATATTGCAAGTCAATAACAGTAACATCAAGCTATTTGTTATTGGCAGTAGTAAAATAAAATTGATTTAAACAGCTTTTGTGCTACAGTAAGATTTCTTCTACTATGCGATTCTGGATTACAGATTTAGATTTTCCATAAAGGTAGATCTATACTTCAAATGTGCAAAGTTTATTTGATTTGATAGGAAGTATACCTTTGGTATCCTCATAGGATTTTTTGAAGCGTAGTCACATAGCTTTCCAATCATCCTATCATTAGGTTCCCCGTCCTATATATTGATAAAAGACTGGTGATTAGTAAATAGATCCTTGAAAATAGATAATATAGACTTACAATTAAAAGAACACAACAACCAAAAGCACGTCTATATTTGTCGGCATTGCAATACTTTTCCAACTCATAGCGAAAGGGCAGATAGTAACCGCTATGCCTCACAGTGGTGTTCAAGAAATAAACATCAAAGGCATAATCCTCAAAAAACCATCCAAGGCATACTACCATTCTTCTCACTGACCAACCAAGGCATACTTCTCCAACTCATAATAAAAGGGCAGATAGTAACCATTACTGGTATCAACTAACATATTTTTCAATTTTGAATCTTGCAAAAACTGTGATTTCTACATTTAAGAACCAAACCTAAAGCCTCTCACATTCCCTAGCGTAATGGATAAGCCTACCCCTTCATACCTAATCCCTAATGAGTGGCGTACCACGCTCCCATACCGGTCCTGTGAACCGGAACGAATCGGTTTCCACACAACTACGAATTGTGTATTCATTTCTTGTGTCATTAAAATATCTGACATTGCACATAGCAGAAGTTACTTTCTTTCAGCACTTTTAAACTTTTACTTTTGCATGTATTTAAAGATTCATGACCAACACAATTGTTGTCTAAATTCATTCTTAAAACTTAATCCCGATTTATTAATGTGAAAGGAAGCCTACATGACTGCATATTAATTGCCTATTTTTTATCCAAATTTTAGAGCTGATAAAAGGCTGGATCAGATTTGACAATAAAAGTCGCTGTAAAAAATTTAAAAGTAAATTATACTGCAACATCTCACTGATTATTAGTTATTAGTTGTTTCTTATGATTTCAGTTATCGAAAGACACATCTAATTTCAATTGATTTGAAATATAACCATTAATCTTCATGTAGCAAATATAAAGATGTGCTATCTCCATGATTGTCAAATGCAAGTTGAGCTATACTGATCCCCTATTCCGAGCTTCAAGAGCATGGTATCCCATCTTAGAGTTACTTCCAAGTAGCACTTGCACTTGTAAGAACTATAAATACAGTAAGTACTTTGCTATTTTAATCTGGGGAAATTGTATAATTACGTACACCAACAAACTCCACAATAACCACATTAGCTCTGTATATCACCAGCTATAAAATACAAACTTTAAATTAAGATAAAATAGAAAATTTGAGAAAATAACCTGAGATTTTGGGAAGACACCAGCTAGGAGCTTCTTGTATCTTTTGACAGGTTGCCGTGAACTTGCCCTCAACGACGGGCAAAAGCAACAGAGACGGCCGCAGACAGGTAGAACTCTTCTTGACATTACCCCCATTTCTCCTTATTTATATACAAAACAAAGAATCCCTCCTCTTTATTTTCTCTCTAAAGATTTGAATAAAGAACCTAGTTTGGAAAGAGAACAAATTGTTGGATCCCCAATTTTGCTAACAGGATTTCCACAGAAATTTGCCTCCTGAACAGAATCAACACTGATTGAAAAAAAAAACCCAATTGGGTCCTCAATTTAGCAAAAGGGATCAGCCTGCAAGCGAGAAATTTTCAGACACCAGCATCAAAAAGCACGCAGAAAGATCAAATTTGGATTGATGGGTATTATCCAAAAAAGGCAATTTAAGATCAAACTGAATGGAAATCGAACCGGGGTTTGGAGAAACTAACCTCGTTGAACTGCCTCCTCAAGGGGGCAGAGGCTTGAGATCCCTCGACGACTCAACAAAAAAAACTTAATTATTAATATATTTTCGTGTCGTTGCGTGTGTTTAATTTTAGAAAGAGAGAAAAATGCTGCAAAGATAGTATAAATTTGAAATAAAAGAATAACTGTATCTTTAATTACAACATGAGAAATGAAGGAGACTTTTGTTGATGGTTGACGCGGTTAATATTGCCGGACCCCCAAAATTTAGGCGTGGGTGTTGGAGACATAATTACTACAACACCCTTTGGTTTTTCTTTACTTTTTTTTGTCCTTTTTTTTCAAGTTTTTGCTTAAGTCATGTTGAAAACTCTAAAGGCTTCTTAATATTGTTGTGAAAAAACAATTCAATCCTTAACTCCATCATTTTACTATTTATCTCGGTAGTTATATATCGAATTTCTCGAAAAACATACCATCTATACATTCAGAATTTGTATAGCAAAAAGATCTAACAATTTAATGATGAGTACTAGCTATGTCAACTCATAAATTTGCTTTCTTTCTTTTCTTTTTTCCCTTTTTTTTGGGATCTTTTGAAATAATAGTATAACTATTATTTTACTCATTTAAAGTTGTCAATTCAACTTACAAGTAGCATTTTGTAGCATAAAACTATTAAAACATATATTACGTAAGTACTTCATAAAGTTTTATGATAGAACAAACTAGGTCAATTGTTACATTTTAGATCACAAAGAATGTACCAATGTTTAAAGAATGTTAAATTTTTAATCTGAAGTGTTACTCGGCGTAATATCATGACGATGCTATAGGATTCCTTTTTTTCTCCTTCTTTTATTGGGATAGAATGATGCATTAGGATTTAGAAGAAGAATACATCTAAAAAAGAATACATATAGATACATACATATGTAGAAAAATCATCTATCTCGTTGGCAGGGATTTTTTTTTTTTTACTCTTTGCTCCATTTAGAACCATAATAATAAAGATGTTGAAAGGAACAACATGACTCGCTTCCCCAACATATTTAAGGAGAATAATTTGTGAGCTTAAAATAAAAAAAAAATCATATTTTTCTTTATTTACACAAATTGTTTGAAAAATATAATTCTTTGCAAGCATTTTGAGAATGTAATTAATAAAAAAGTTACTTTAACAAAATTATTTTTGCCTCCAAACAAAATTAATTTGTTCAAGCATGTTTGTCTGGCTTTACTAAATTTGCCATCCTTTATGCATAAAACATTTAAATTTATAGCTTGGAAATAGAATATGGTATATGCAACACACCAAATCGTTGGAAACTAATCATTCCTTTGCACAGTAAATACATATATTTTTGGTAAAATTATAAAAGATAATTTAACTTTATAAATTGATTAGACACTGATTTATTTTTATTTTTTACTTAACTAATTTTAACTTTATAAATCGATTAGATACTATTTTATATTTATTTTTTACTTAATTGAAGTCTATCCTTTCAGATGGTTGCAGAGGATTTTTCTTTTCTCATATCTCAACATTTTTTGTGTGGGTGGATATTTTAGGAAAAAAGACCAACACTAGTATGAATATGGGGAACCTTGGATGACCTGTTTGAAGGTTTTAATATAGCTTGTAAGGGCATCTCCAACAGCTTCTCTAAAATTTTCTCCAAAATGGGGAAGCAAAAGTCATATTCTCCAAATTATTTTTACACCAACTCCAATAGCTTCCCCATTTTGAATAATCCCTTTTTTCCTCTAAAAATTTGGAGAATGCTGTAGATCTGGGGAAGCTTCCCCATTTTTTCTCCGCCATCCCTATTTTGGGGAATGAGATGGGGAATCTGTTGGACCAAAAACCTAACTATATTCTCCAAAAGTGGGAAATGGGGAAGCTGTTGGAGATGCTCTAAGATCTTGGGTTGGATTCTCATATCAAAACAAAACAAAACAAAACAAAATCACTAGTGTGAACATGAGCTAAATTTTTAACAATTACCCTTCAGTTATGTTTAATATTTTTTTTAGTTTTCCGTAAATTATGAAACACAATCTATTTCTATATATACATTCTATTTCTATATATTGCTTTTTCTTTGGCCTGTAGAACCTTATGCATTTAACCTAAACTTTTTATTGAGCCAACTCAATAACAAATTCATAGTCAACTTGATTCTTCCAATGAAATATTTGTAAATGTCCAGATCATTTTTTTTAAAGTATCTACTTTATGACTTAACCCTTTAGTCATGGACATTGCTTGACCTTGTCTAAACAAGATTAGCCATTGAGAGGAGTAAATAATGTGATGTACTGATGATGTATGTGCACTTTGGACAAGGTTCTTAAGGATCCATGTGGCTGTTAGTCCGAGCATTTAAACTTAACGCCTAACATAATTATTATTTTACAATTTTTACATTATTGTAAAAAGAGGGCTCCTTTATGTACAGCTAGCAGTTCCAACTTCCATGTGATGCTAATAAATAAGGTGAACAACCATGCAGGCCCCAACTTATGTTTGGGAGTTCTTTGAGTGAAGGAAAGGAAAGGAAATATAAGAAAAGAAAAGGTGAAGAGTAGGTTAAATATAATATCTTGTTTGGAAGTTTTGTAAGGGGAATGGAGGTGAACTTAAATTAATTTTTCGGGAGTTTCAATTATGGGAATGAAAATGAAGTATGAAATTACCCTAGGGTGGGGGTGGGGGTGGGGGGGTTGAATAAGGTAATATGCTAATCTAATCCGATATTAATATCAATTAAAAACTTATTAACTAATTATCCTAGCAAAAATGATATTCAAGAAGATTATATACAAGGATATTAAACTAAGGGCGAAATAAGCATGAGCAATGGCGAAATAGAATAAAATAAATAATAAGCACAAATGTAACGCCAAAACAAATTCAAATACACAATATGATCACGGAATTCGGTCCTTCCGACCTACTCCCCACTCTCGGGGAGAATCCACTATCACAACAGGTTTTCAACGTTCACCCAAAATGTTTACACCTCACAATCTCAATTTTCTAGCTCATTAAAAACTTTCACAACTCACATTCTTGCAATCACACTCTACACCCTCTAAGTGTTGGTCTAGCCCGTGTCGTCTTTCTCAAGTGCTCTGAATTACCACCTCTCTAGGCTTTACCACCGACCCTACTCCTCTTGGAATCGACACCGTCTCTCACCACACACTTCTTTCGGTATACAAGTGTATTACAAAGTGTATCTCACAATAAAAGCTCAATACAAGGTTTGTTCTCTACAATAGATGAGAACTTAATGTAAGTTCACACTCAATGATACAATCTCACATCACAACCAAACTATACATAATGTGAAATACTAAAAACTCAGGGGTGTGTGTGTGATCAATGAGGAATAACAAAACTAAACTCAATATAAAATCTAGCTTAATGAAATGGATAATCAACAAATATAAACATATGAAGGTAGAAATCGAGTTTAGAGAAAACTTCTCTGAAAACAAGAGTGAGAGAGATGAGAGATTGAAGCTCAAACACCAAAGAATTGATCTCCTCCTCTTATGTAAACTTCTTCACATAAAACAACTTGAAAACTAAACACACTTAAATCTTTAAAACAAACTCTTTTCAAACTCCCTTAAACAAAACTTTAAAACAAACTCTTTTCAAACTCCCTTAAACATCCATGACAAAAGAATGAGAGAAGAGGGCATTTATAGCCTCCCAAACTAGCCAAAAACCCCCCAAAACCCACAAAAATCAGAACTAGCTGTTTACTAGTCGTTATAGGCTGAAAAGACACTATAAGTCGACTTATTACAGGTGTAAGTCGCTTATAAATTTGACAATTTCAGGTTTTGACAGTTTCGGGAATTTTACGTATCTGACTTTCTAAAATCGATTAAAAATAGTAAATCAACTCTAAAAATTATGAAATTTTGAGTGAAGTTTATAAACATGTAGATAAACATGTTAGAGAAATAATTTCTTAAATCTCACTTCTCATTTATGATAAATAACTATTTTAAAATAGATATTACAGATTCTATAAACTATTGAAACACTCAATTTTATAAAATCAATTTGACAATAAATCAACTTCAAAAATGATAAAATTTTGAATATGGTTATAAACATGTAATAGAAAATGTTAGAAAACAAATTTAAAATTTCATTCCCCATTTATGAGAAACTCATTTATTTTGAAAACCGGTTGAAAATACGAAAATGCCAAACACTTAGTTTTTGATGAGACGATTTCAAACAAGCTTTAAAATTCTTTTGAATGGATTTATGGACTTATGAGAAGATGTAAAATAGTATTACTAAGTCAATAATCCACCAACATGTTATTTTCTCAAATACATTATTTTCTTAAAATGAAAACAATGAAACGAAAGCAACGAAACGAAAACAATGTGTGTGTATAATTTGAGCTTTAAGTATAACCACACAAAGTATAAACCTAAAATACTATATCCAAGTAATTGATCTTCAATTCGCTTGTCTGAGTTTGCGGGGATGAAGCGATATGAATCTCGACTTGAATTACGACGGCTTCAATGCATGTTCTTTTCATCATCCAATGGATATGATCGTGTAAGCGCAAGTCCAACCAACCTCCAACATCAATGTTTGTCTAGAATACCTAATAAGCAAACTCAAATACTAGACAAACGATGTTACAGACTGTTTGTAAATCATCAAAACAAGATTAGATAGCAGGCTCATAAACATGAGACCTAATAAAGTAAATGGATCATAACTATTGATTCATTATGATAGAGGATCAAGATATCTCTTTCATTATGAAATTTTACTTTCCTTTACCTCCCAATTTGGAGGGGCATAAAATTGAACATCTTTTCCCTCTCTTTCTCTCCCTTACCCCTCTTAAAAAAACTCCTAAAAAAACTAACTTTTTTTCTTTATATATATATATATATATATGATTATAATATATATATATATATATATATATATATATATATATATATATATATATATATATATGTATATGAATAGTGAATCTAAGGTGACACCCTAGGCTCCCACCTAAGGATGCGGCTAGAATCACATCATTTCCTTCTTTTTTTTGCGATCCGCTCCGTTGAACTTTGATCTACACGTTTCTTAAACCCAAACACACCAATTTTAGGTGAACCCGTTGTTGTTTTGACCATTCGTTGAGCCCGTTGTAAAA